AGGGCCATAAACATTACCTCCTGGTGTTACAGCTTTTAAATGGATGGAGGGGACATGAGAATTTGTGCCCCAGGGAAGGTTCAAATGGTGAGGGGCACTAACAAATCACAAAGCAATCACAAAGTGTCTCGGTCTGACCTGGAGGAATGTTCTAGAAAGTGACACCTGCAGCAAGGAAAAGTGCAGAAAAACTCTCAACACGCTGTACCAGGCAGCCCAGGAATTTCTCATGGCGGAGGAAGCATGGACTGTCCTCTGTGATAGCACTAAGACAATATTCACACAAAAAGCACAACAGTTCCTTGTGAAACTGTGAGAAGTGAATGATTATAAAGATTAGTCATGCATGTTTTTGTTCATTAAAATCCACCCCCCTCTCCTTAACACTGACCTAACATTAATCCCTACTTTTATCCCACACCTAAAGTAAGCAGTTATTTTATGTGACAATAAAACTGATATTTTACATTAAATATTCTAAACAAGCCCATTTTTTATTCCGAGCTTTAGGGAATTTTAAAGGGAAAGGATCCCTTACTCTATGTGCACCTAGTTATTGCAATCCATTGCTTTTGGCTTAGTTAAAATACTAAGAAATTATCTATCTGCACAGTGCTCAAGCACAAAACCCCTCAGCTTAAGTACTTTAACACGCATTCATGTTTTTCTAGATCGCATAAACCACTTTATCTCTCTCTCTCTCTCATTCTCTCTCTCCACTGATATGGTGTGTAGGAGAGGTAGTTCTCATCCAAATATTTCCGCTACGGTTTCTTTCATGCTGTGCTATAGAACACATCAAAAAGGCTCTTCCAGTACTTAGTAGGACAGGATACTATCACAAACACTATCAGTCTGTTTTAGAAAGGCTATGAGATATAATTGGCTGTTTTGCCAAAATGATTTAGATTATTTTTATTAATCAAGAAAAGTGAATATAATACACAATCATTGTGAGAACAATGCTTTTGAGTGTCTGCAGATAAGAACTGCCAGGAGTCTTAATCTTTCTTAAAAAGATCAAATAATAAAATTTATCAACAAACATTTGCGTAGTCAGCACAAATTCTTGTAACTGAGAGATTACACTAAAAGCAAATAAACAGTGTGTTTTATATAGTCTGACAGTAACACTTAAGTTTCATTTTCTAAAGTCTTCTCTATAGAATTGAGACATGCTCCTATTTTTATTTCACTAGTTCACTAATATCTGGCTCCTTGTATTGCCCTGCTCATCATAATCCAGTTAAAGAATTTGGGCCAATTAACCCTTTAAAATCCATGTAGAAGCTTAAAATTGCTGTTAAATATCAGCACACTGCAATAAAGCTTGATTGTTCTTGCCCGTAGGAAAAAAAGGAATGGTAAAACCATTCACCTAAGACCCTGACCTCTGTCTTGACCCCATCAAAGACTCCTAAGAACTTTTCTCCTCATTCTTGCTGACCTTATCTGAATGATGTTGGAGGTCTGACCCTCTACAAGCTCCATCTACCTCCAAAAAGTTTGAGTTGAAGTGATGTCTACATTAGGAGTTGTTTAAAGAAAACTGAGTCACTGTCCAGAAAACATTCACTTAGCTGACTTTTACTTCCCAAACATCTATTAAACATGGGTGCATGATGTATATTTTTTTTTAGATCTGAACTCGTTTCTTGGTCTAAGATCTAGTCTGATATTGGAAAATAGGTCATGCAAAGTGGTAAGGCCCACTCTCTTAAGTCCCCATCAACACTATCGGTGTCCCACAGGGATCACTGCTTGGCCCCTTACTGTTCTCCATCGACACCAAAAAACTTAATTGTGTCATCTAAATTTTCAGTTTCTCATATACTGTACTAAGTACTGACAACAATCAACTGCACGTCATTTACACTAAATGCCTCTGCATTCACAGAGATTACACTTGGTATTAACAACACGGCAGGGAGAGTCGGACTCGTAACCCAAAGGTTGTGGGTTCGAGTCTCGTACCGGCAGGGATTGTAGGTGGGGGGAGTGAATGTACAGCGCTCTCTCCCACCTTCAATACCACGACTGAGCCATTAAATTGTTCTAATTGGTGGAAAAAATTGGAGGTATTATGATGCAGGTTTAATTGTTTCATATAAAATTGTTTCCAATTTTTTCCACCAAGCAAGGCACCGAACCCCCAACTGCTCACCGGGCGCCGCAGCAAAAAAATGGCTGCCCACTGCTCCGTGTGTGTGTTCACTGCTGTGTGTGTGCACTTTGGATGGGATAAATGCAGAGCACTAATTCCGAGTATGGGTCACCATACTTGGCCACATGTCACGTCACTTTTTTCACTTTTTTTTTTTTTTTAAAACAAGCACTTCAAATGCAGCTCCTGAGACGACGTGACTGGATTCATCTCTGATTTTATGACTACATACCAGGGATGTGCAAAATTCAGAATTAAGAATTGGCTTCATACACAACATCCTAGTTGACTCCTAGCTGACACACTTACCATTGTGGACCATACTGAAGCAAAACATGAGTGCTTCATGCTACACAAGGAACTTAAAGAAAATCCAGCCCTCCATTAATTACCACTCTGCTAAGCTGTTTGTTACTGCAGGCTCTAATTATTTCATGACTAGACTACACTGCAAGCAACTACTCACCATCCCACCTGCATTACTCTCACGTCAGTTTGAGCCCATCCAAAATGCTGCCACTCGATAAGTGTTTAACCTCTATATATTCGCTAATGTCATGCTCGCTACAATTGCTCCCATTAACTGCTAGAATTAAACACAAGACTCTGTTTCTATTTCCCACACCCAGGGCCACTCCTTAACTTCTACAGGCATCCAGGGCTGCGTTTCCCAAAAGCATTGTAAGCTTAAGTACATTGTAGACCCATTGAAACCAATGGAGCTACGATCAACTTAGGCTTACGATGCTTTTGGGAAACTCTGCCCAGAACAGTTAAATCACAACTTACTTTCAAATAAAGCCTCAAGAGACAACTTTTCATAATTCACCTCTATAAGGATTAACACTAACCTTATATGAAACAATTAAACCTGCACCATAATACCTCCAATTTTGTCCACCAATTTAGAACAATTTAATGGCTTGACTAATCTGTAAAGATTTGTCTGTAACTACTTAAAAAAAGATTTCAAAAGGTATACTGTTATTATCACTTAAAAATGAGCCAAAGATGATAAATGGACCATAATTTATGCATACTAAATGTGCAGGCAAATTCTTGGGAAAAAATAAAACAGTAAGAATAAAACAATCATATATTTAAACATTCGTGAATGACGTACTTAGAATACTGAGTGTCAATATGGTAGTAACAGGGTAAATAGGTGTGGCAGAGAAACAGGTTACTTTGCATATTAATTAGAAGGAGGAGTGTTTTGTCAGTTTGGTGATGAGAGGACTGAGATACTTCACAAATCATCAAACAAGAAATTACACATAAAAACTAATGATTTGTTAACAGTAACTAACAATTTAAAAGGCACACAAATATTTTACACAAAACTTCATAGCTTGTAATTTGTCAAGTGATTGTGTCTAAAACATTCAAATGTGTTTGTAAAAGTTAACCCAAACATGATGAGCCAAATGTATATTACTAAGAACAACTTAAAGTATCATTTGCGACTAAATCCACAAGGGGAAGTACTGTTATGCGTTTTAATAATGATAGAAGACTTACCCCTTGAGCAGACACTGCATACAAGACAACTGGTAACACAAAACTCCTGTGAAGGGAGATGAACAAAACCATCATATGTGCTCTAACGAAATAAAGCGCATTATTTAACTCGGTGACTAAAACTGACAGTTCACTATTTAACGTCCAAGTGTCTGAATTTGTAACCAAGCGTAATAAAATGACATCTCTAGATATAAATGTACTTACCAAAGCTTCATTTTGCAAAGCTTTGAGGGAAACGCAGGTAATGTATCCTCGGCGTCTTCACGGTAAGCCTCTGTTAAATGGCTTCAAACCTATTCATTTGAGAATCCGGTGAGCGGTTCGTCCACTTCGAAGGGCAAGAAGTGAGATAAGGATAAATAGAAACAATTCAACGAGAGCTGAAAATATAATTTTGCACATGCAATGAGTATTTTATGAAGATCTGCTTCTGTGTGTCCTCTGAGAATAAGAGAAGTTCACTTACAAGAAAGTTCTGTGTTGGAAACGCTCTCCTCGCGGCAGAGTCGATTCACGCGCCCTGCAAGTGCGCTGTGTTCCGAGAAGAGGGCGGGCTTTCCACCCGTCAATCACTCGCGTCTCACGCTTTTGCCTCTAAACAAACAGCGATAACAACCACAAACGTATCAGTAAACAGTGTGGCACTCATGTAAGCTGAAATATCATTAATGCAGCCTATATCTCACACACGACTGGACATAATAAAACATAATGAAAATTACATGAACACATAAACTGATCAGAGTTGATTCAATTAACTCCATACAGATTAATGCATGTCTAACTCAATATTAATAATCAGTAATAGGCTGCAAAATGACTCATTTTAACTTTAAAATAGCAGAAGATAACAAGTAAACCTTCCTATGTAGTCTATCTCGATTTATTTCAGCAAATGCCACTGCAACAAATGGAACTATTGGGCAAAAAAGTGAACTTTAAATAATATAGCCTTTCTGTGCTGGCATATATAGCTACATCCTTCTGTTTGATAATTGCCTAAAAATGAATACAAATAGCCTATATATTTGTCTTAATTTCAATTTTTGTCTGTGATGCGTCCTCCGCCACGACATCGCTAACAAATCCCCTTATAAAATCAAAAGAAAGAAACAGTGAGTAAAATAGTTTTTATTAATGATTTATCCAACAAAAAAGCGCCAAAAGACATTTAAACGTAACTTTTCATCCTCCCATGACTTTAAAGCTTAACGTCTGTGGGGATCTAGACTGGTTTTTGGCGGAGGAATATGAAGTAGTGCGGTGAGCTGGTTAAGGGGGATTCGGTAAAGTGACGGTTACATTATTGCGAGCGCTGCCAGCACTGGACATCCTTGAGACTTTACAAGAATTCCCCTATAACTTTTGAAAAAACGTGCTGGTTCTGCAGTTAGCTTAACGGAGGAATATGATACGTTCAATAAGTGTTCATAGTTGTAACTGTCAATGTTAAGAGGGCAGATTCTTTGAAAATCAGTATGAACTTAAAGGGTCTCAGCGCGGTGTTACTGGTGTTTCTCACTATAAGTACAGAGCCCCGCAAATCGGAGTCTGCGGTAAGTAATCATTGCTTGTTACTTCTTTTAGTTACATCTTAAAGTGAAACAACTGTTGCCATTGCTTTGGATCAATCACACACGCTTTAGCTAATGTTTATAAACACAGGTTACTTTATAACACGAAAGTATTGGTTTCCTTGAGATCGCTTGTGCGAACATGTGACTTGAAACATGGGATATTCATCTGCAATCGTTAAAATACAATCCGTTATATCTGATTGCCTCTACTTTATTGAGTGCAAGTGCAAATATATGCTCATCGCATTTTAATAGTCCCAACTGCATGTAGAAACGTAGGATGTTCTTTTAAAATGTATTATTAATGTTGGATATAAAACAGCAACTTTATTTAAGATATCATTTAATAATAATCGTAAAGTTTCTAACTTTCTGGTGACTCTTGTCAATATTATAGGCTATCTTTCTGTTTTTATTTTTGTTGTTGTTGTGTTTGCTTATTTATTTTTTTACTTGTGTATTTATTATCTGTAGTTTTTTTTTCTTTCATAAATACACATGTAGTCATTCTCATGCTCATATTGCATACTAGTTAACCTCACAGTCAGTAATCTGATTACTGACACTGTATTTATGTTTGCACATTACATGAGACATTATTGCCAAATTAAATGCCAGTTATTTACTCATCACAAACTTGATGTGAAATGATAAGGAATAATTGTTCTCATTTGTAAAATTTCCATATGAACCCATTCATTGAGCACAATTTTGCTGTGTTTTTAGCCACTACACCACAGAGTGATCCTGGTCAATCTGACATGCTTTGCATGCCTGTATTTTTGGACCTGATTGGATACATTGTCGCAAATACAAAGATATGGCATCACTATGGGGCCGATTCATTGTCCCACTATCAGGCAGTAGCAGACAGGTGAGGACATGTTTAGGGAGGGACCTGTCCTAGAGGTACAGATACAGCAGGGACAGAAGAGCACATGTGGTGACCTTACAACAAAACACATCATGTTCCTACATTTCCCAAAGGGCATTGTTGTGCACCAATCCCAACAGGGAATGTAAATGTAGTTTGCACTTCCCTTCCCAATGACTGGCTGTTGAATTGTTCTGATTCTCAATAAGAATTCTGGAGCTCTTTCATTTTACTCCTAAGGATCCGCCCAATTTCTTTTTCTCAGTTTACAAGGTGAAAGGTGGCATCTGTCATTCATAGAGGGAGGAGTTTACTAGCCATCAGGATAGGCATGTAGACATAGAGTGCCACCCATCCCCCGAGACCAAGATTGCACGACCCTCAGGTCTATTAAGTGAATCTAACCACAGCCTATTGTTCACACAACCTCTTAACCCCTCAAGATGATGAAAAAAAATGCCAGTTTATACGTTCCACCCCCCAGTCCAGTATGCCTCTGTGTTTGCCTGATGTGGATTATCAAGGAGACAGTGTGTGGCACTGATTATTTAGGATAATTCCGAATTTGAAACATTTGTTTTATAATGTGACAGATTATAAAACAACAGACACTTTTTGGTTGTTAAAAAAAAGGTGCGCTCGTTCAAAACAGTTGCATTCTATCCTTCGCTTGCTGTGCTGATTTAAATCTAGCGGTTCTTCGCTGTGTCCAAGTAAACTATTATTGATAAATCCTTGTCTGGTAATATTTTAGCAATCATGTCATGCGTCTGTTTAGAATCAGAAATAGTGATGCCAGATTTGTGAATGAATAAATATTGATGTAATTGGTCTAGTTTTGCAAAAAAGTCTGAAATAGTTTAATTCATTCATTGACTCGGATTAATTCATTTAGACAGTTCACTCTGGCATAGAAACGTTTGTAGCTGTTTCTCACATCATAACAGAATACTTTAAAAGTCATAAAACAAAAAGAGCGCTGGATGAGGTGGATAATTAATCCACTGTAGGTAACAAAACTTGCAAATGTATTCTATCGTTTGTCAACAATGAAGCAGCTCTTTATTGCAGGTGCAGCTTGTGAAGACCGTTTATATCCATTTATCCATAACATTATCAAAAAAAGTACCAAAATATTGGGAAACTTGGTGTTGGGGGGGAAGCACTCAATCTAACTAAGAAATGTCCTTTTGAGGAGCCAATGCAGTGTGAAAGAACAGATTTTTAAAGCCTTTATTTTTAAAATGTCAAAGCCTTTTATCTCAAAGCAGAATGGAATTCCTGGCAACAATTCCCACCTTCTGTCTTTCAGTACTGGCCGCCTAGTGGTGAAATCTAGCATCACATTAGTGTATTTTAAAGGGGTCATATGATGTTGCTAAAAATAACATTATTTTGTGTATTTGGTGTAATGAAATGTGTTTATGCGGTTTAAGGTTAAAAAAACACATTATTTTCCACATACTGTACAAATCGCATCATATGACCCCTTTAATGATAGTTGAAGACAAACATGTCCTTAGTCAGTAATTTTTATTTTGTTTATATACAAACTAAAATTCTAATTATCTATGATATTTTAGGTTTTTATTCTTCTGGAGATGCCAGAACCTGGAGTCACCAGGTCAGAGAGTTTGTTGGTAACTTGAACCATAGGGGTCTGCTTTGAACGTTTCATACTTGAGGGACTCCATACACTGTGCAGGTCAAGGTGTATGAACATGTATGAGTGTGTGTGTGGCGTCTGTACGTGTTCTGCTTCAGATATGTGTGTGTGAGCGCAGATATGAGCACACTTACATGCTGGGATGTGTACATATCTGCTTGTATGTACATAATATGGTAATGCACATACATGTTGGTGTGCCTTTGCACATGTCTGTGTGTGTGTGTGTCACAGTGTGTGTAATAGAATCCACCAAAACCCCTAGAGTCACAAATGATGAAGCACCCCAGCTATCAAAAAAAAAAAAAAAAAACACACCCATGAAGTCAACCCAAACATCAGTAATCTGTGTTCACAGCCATGACATCCATTCAGTGCAGAGATATCTACCCTGAGTGCCCGGGTTTTGCTGCAATCTCATGCCAGGATATGGGGACCAAGTTGGCAGCTCATGATAGTTCTGTCTCTCCTGGAGGACAAGCAAATTCCAGTCTTATCTCACCTGCAGGAGAGAGAGAGGGTCACCGAGATGTGCACAGGCAGCCATGCAAGAAACTTATTTCAAAACAGGCCCACAAGCGCTTGCAATGCTCACTATGACAGCTTGCACTAGAAAACTATTTTTATAAAATCTATGTTGAGTTTTCTAGAATTGGATTTCTAGTTTCACGAGTTAAAGGGATAGTTCACCCAAAAATGAAAAATTGCTGTTAATTTACCCACCCTCAGACCATCCAAGATGATGGTGACTTTTGTCATTCAGTAGAACAGTAAAGAAGATTTTTAGCTAAAACCGTGGTCCTTGGTGATGCTTAAAATCAAAGTCAGCAGCTGCGGTTGAGGTGAAGCGATTGGTCTGTGCAAGAAACTGAACATTATTTACAATATTATTACCTGTAATCTATAGCATCAGGCAAACGGTGCAGAGTGATGTACGGTTCGCGAACGAATAATTCTTTTGAATGGGTTCTTGAGATAATTAACAGTAACATTTTCATTTTTGGGTGAATTATCTCTTTAAGAGGCTAGTATCAAGACTGTGAAGAGACATTCTGAGTCACCTGGAGTGTGTTTATGCTGAACTTCATGCCCTCATGTGTCAAAGGCTCTTTAATAGTCTTCAATATGTCATTATACAGTTCTGAGTCATTATTTAGTATGACTTCTGAGATGTTCCTCCAAAATGTTTTGAGGAGAAATAAAACAGACAAAAATGAGAAAATGGTTGTTGCATAGTATGCATATGGCTCAGATAATTTAATTTTGGAAGATACTTTGATATCTTCGCAAATCTGACCACAGTTTAAAACGTTAAGTAAATGTACATGCATTTTAAAAGTTCAGTTTCACTCAGACTTAATAATTTGTTAAACATATTAAAATGATCATTTTTTTAATAAATATTTTTTTTTTTTTTACATATTTTAGTCTAACTGAAAACGTACCAGTTACTGTTTCTGACACATTGTATGAAGATACATTACTGAGGTATTTTTCTCAGGAGAAACATCACAGAAGCAGGAGATTCAATCAAAATCTTTTGATCAAAGCAGGAGACTTGATCAAAATCTATTGCTGGTTGAAGGCCTAGTGAGTGTTAATAGATTAAATGGTATGTGTGTACTGTGCTTATACTTACAATGTGGTGAGAAAGAGATGCAAATACCATTTAGGATTAGCTGGACAGTGATCCTCCTCTCACACCCAATCTCTATTTCCCCCACTGCCTCACCCCCCACAGCGCTAAACCCCAAATAGCAACTTTTTCAGTGGCTGGCTAATTTACACCACACATACAAACACATGCATGCACTCTGTGTTTGTTTAAGTGATGGAGAGGTCATCAAACTGTGAAAGAGAGAGAAGTTACCTGGACAGTATAAAGACTTTTTGCGCAGAGGTTTGTCTGCTTTAGATATCTTCTCATCTTAGTCTGAGACTGAGGCATGTTTCGTCAGAGTTTGAATGGGAGCAAGAGAACATCTATTGTTGCTCCAGACATCACCTTCATTATCATTCTCTCTGTTTGATATGCAGTCACGTAAAGGGATTTTTGGGTTAGTGCATTACAGAAATCTGTGGTACATTACATTGCTTTTAGCTGATCCAGCACATTAGAGAACAACAAAGTTAATATGTTTCTAAGAACTTAGAATTTACATTTCATACTTTTAAAGTTCATTTAATACTTTGTCATTACATTTACCAATACTATGCAAACATGATAGCCGTCTCAAAAAATGTCCATAATACCTTCATTGCTATAAATTCTTCAAACATTCTGTATAAGATGAGAGAGCAGAAGTTCTGAAATGGTTTTGTTCCAGGACCCACACTTTACATTGGACATCAAGTCGAGGATCAACACAGCATCAACACATATAATATGCTGGTATGCCATTTGAAGGGATAGTACTTACCCAAATCCAAACATGTATA